AAAAAAAAAAAAAAAAAAAAAAAAAAAAAAAGAAAGAAAGAAACTCTCTGGCCATTAAACAATAACTCCCTGTTTCCTACTTCCCTCAGCCCCTGGCAACCACCAATTTCCTGTTTGTTTCTATGATTTTGACTATGATATATAAGTGGAACTCATGTAGTATTTGTCTTTTGTGACTGACTTATTTCACTTAGCACAATGTCCTCAGGGCTCGTCATGTTGTACAATAGCATGTGTCAGAATTTCCTTTTTTTAAAGGGCGGAATAATACTCGATTGTATGTATATACCACATTTTGTTTATGTGTTCGTTAATCAGTGGACACTGGGTTGCTTCTACCTTCTGGCTATTGTGAAAAATGCTGCTAAGAACATGGATGTATAAAAATCTGTTTAAGTCCTCCTTTCAATTCTTTCAGGTATATATATGCAGCAGTGGAATTGCTAGATCACAGAGTAAATATATTTTTGACTTTTTGAGGAACTGCCAAACTCTTTTCCATAGACCTTGTCCCATTTTGCATTCCTACCAATAGTGCACAAGGATTCCAGTTTTTCGTTTTTCCTCTTGCTTGCCAACACTTGTTATTTTCTGGTTTTTGTTTTGTTTTGTTTTGTTTTGTTTTTTTCAAAATTATTTCTTTATTTCTAATTTTTGTAGTAGCCAATCTAATGGGTATAAGGTAGACCTGGCCACTCATTTTAAGGAACTGTTTTGCTTTCTCCTTTCTTTCCCTCTTCCTTTTTCCCTTGACCCTTCCCTTTCCCTTTTATTTTCTCCCCTAACTTCTTTATGTTGCAGGATTAAGATTTCAAAATAATATTTTTTCTGATGCAGTCAGTTGTCTGTAATGGTTCAGCTGTTTTCTCAACATAGAAATAATCCTGTGGTCATTCTTTGGTAAGAATTCAAATTCAAGCAAAGAAAGGATACCTTAGTATATTTGCTGCCCTGTCAGAAATTCCAAAACCTTCTTCCAGATGGTTAAAATCTTTGGCCTTTTTTTATCCTTGATCAGATGGTCAGATGTCTTTTTGCATTATTTAACTAGTGAATTAATTTTAATACACCCTACAGACTGATACACCTTCTTTCCAGCTGTCTAAAGCAAATACTCTTTCTAGGGTTTTTGTGTCCCTGGACTATATAGTCTTAGAAGCAACTGAAATGCTGCTCTGCTGCCTCTCCGCACTTTCTGAGCAGTTGTGCTGCTTGCAGAGACTTGTTAATATGAACTTTAAGCATGAGGAATATAGACTTGCTAGTATCATTCTATAATGCCATGGAAGGAATGTTACTGAGTTAGCAGATGTGCTCATTTTCTTTTTCTGGTTCCTGATGTTGTTAAATTAAGCTAAATGTTTTCTCTTATACTTTGCTGTCTCTCCTCCAGTCTTCACATCACAGTGTGCCAACTCTACCTGTTTTTGACTGAGGAGACTTTCTCATTCTTATTGGGGTTTGGGGAAAGGATTTTCTCTGGTACATCCCTTCCACATTGTGCCTTTTCTGGTTGGACAGGGATGATAATGTTGGGTTGTTTGATAAGAAAGGGACAAAATTAGGGTTTATTTCTTTGCAGCCAGAGCTGCATATTAAGCTGATGGTTCATGTGTTTTTTTCCCTTACTGTAACCAATGCACAGTCTTCTCTCTTGTTTCCATCAAG